GGTGGGATGGCTGCAGCTGTGCTAGACGCTTGACCATGCCTACTTAATCTGCATGATCAAATTACTGCTATTTAAAAAAATTATTATTACATTTTATCTTCCCATGATCTTATAGGTTATACAAGGTTTATAAAATTAAAATTTTAGTCTCATTTACTTATTAGGAATGCAGTGGAGGCTGTGATTATCAGAGTTGAACTGAGAAATGTTTGGTATGGCACCAAGGGAATTGGTGTGCAAAATACAGAATCTTGCACAGCTTGTGCATAGCACTTACAGTCTGTTCCATGGGTAAGATGAGCCAAGAAGAGAGTGCAGCTGCTTAGGATTTGCTTAAACCAAAACACTGAAGGTAGAATAAGTTCTGTTCTTGGTTCTGTGCTAGGTGGTGAAGATAGGAAAAATGCAAAAATAACAATAGCAATGGTAATAACTGCCAACACTTATTAAATATGGAATGCTGAATGTGTCCCAGCCATTATGCTGAGCTTGTTTGTCTGTCTGCCAGCCACTCAGGCAGGCCTCAGACTTGCTCTGTAACCAAGAATGCCTTGAACTTCTGATATGCCTGCCTCTACCTTCCAAGTGCTGCAATTATAGGTACATGTTACCATGCCTAGAGTTTTGTAGTGCTTGTGAGCAAACCTAGGGCTTTGTGCTTGTTAGTCAAGCATGATATAAATTGAGCTCCAACCCTCAACCCTTACAAGTATTTCCATATTCAATCTGAAGACTTTAAGGATTCTATTGCCTTTTTCCCCCCATTCAGTGTCATGAGGCTAGGTGTCATTATGTAGTTCAGACTGACCTCAAACTTTCTACATAGCTTTGTTGCTAGGACCGACCAAATTCAAGGCAGTCCTATCTCAGCCTTCCAAGTGCTTGGATTACAGGTCTATACCACCACACAACTCACACATGTTTGAGGGGTGGAGGGATGTGCACATACACATGAAGTCAACAATGAGTGTCTCCCTCAGTTGTTCTCCAGCTTTTCCTTTTTTTTTCTTTCTTTGGCTGGCCGGTGAGTTCCAGAGAGCCTCCTGTTTCCACCTCCCTAGCACTGACATTACACTCAAACACTACCACACTTAGCTTTTTTTGTTTTTGGAGATCAAATTGAGGTCTTCATGTTTACAAGTGAGACACTTCACTAACTGAGCTGTCTCCCCAGGTCCCAGATAGCTTTTTAACAAACAAAACAAAACAAAACAAAACAAAAAAATTGGGTTTCATATAGCCCAGGCTGTTCTTGAATTTGCAATGATTTCCTTTGTCTCATGGTTGGGATTTCGGATGCCCAGCTTCTATGGCATTCCTAATTCACAGTTGGAAAAAAGTGAGTTTTTGAAACATTAAGTGATTTTAACTTTCTACACACTTACCTCCTTTATAGGATTGCATGGAGATGAACAAATACAGTGTCCAGAACAGTGTCTGTTATGTATTAAATGCTCAGTAAAGCCAGGTGGCACAAGCCTTTAATCCCAGCGCTCGGGAGGCAGAGGCAGACGGATCTCTGTGAGTTCGAGACCAGGACTGGCTCCAAAGCTACACAGGGAAACCTTGTCTCGAAAAACCAAGGGGAGGGGGAGAAGCTCAGTAAATACCAGATGCTGTTACTGAAGCACAGAGTACCATGTATTCCCTGTTAGGGCCCATCTCTTTCATGATAGAAAAATACAGTGTCCTTCTAGCAAAGACAGGTATTCTAGGGAAGAAAAAACAGTAATAAAGGGATTGGTTGGTTTAGTTTTGATATTGTATAATGTGTTGGGTATAAAATGATAGAAAAAAATCTAGATGAGGTTGGAGACATGGCTCAGAGGTTAAGAACACTAACTGAGAGCACTGGCTGCTCTTCTAGAGGTCCCAAATTCAACTCCTAGCAACCACATAGTGACTCACAACCATGTATAATGAGATCTTGTGCCCTCTTCTGGCCTGCAAGCATACATGCAGGCAGAACACTGTACATGTAATAAATAAATCTTTTCAAAATAATCTAGAGATGGGACTAGAGAGATGGTTCAGTGGTTAAGAGTACTGGCTGCTCTTCCAGAGGCCCTGAGTTCAATTCACAGAAACCACATGGTAGCTCACAGCCATCTAATGTAATTTTCTGTCATGTAGGCTCTATATGCACCATATACATAAAGTAAATCTTTTTTAAAAATCTAGAGATGAAAATCTCATTTTGAGGGAAAGTCCTTGAGCTGTCTTGAAAGGATAGGTGTAGCCCACACATAATGACAAATGATGAGAAGTAACTGGCGTTCTCATTCATTGCTTGTAGAAATGAAAATAGTACAGCCACTTAAGGAGATAGTTTGGCAGTTTCTTATAAAACTAAGCATTTCTTATCATACAATCCAGTAATCATGCACCTTGGTATTTATATAAAGGAGTTGAAAATTATGTCCATGTGAAACTGCAGAGATGTTTATAGAAGCCTTATTCATAATTGCCCAAACTGTAAGCCTCTAAGATGTCCTTCATTAAGTGAACAAATAAATAAACCAGGACACATTCACATGTGAAATGGGTTTCAGCAGTGAAAATAAATGAGCTAACAAGCCATCAGAAGACTTGGAGGAAATTTAAATATGAAATGAAAAAGCCAGTCTAAAAGCTGACATACTGCATGCTTCCAACTGTGTGACTTTCTGGAAAAGGTACCGTGGAAGCGGTAAAAAGATCGCTGGGCAGGTATGGGGTTCACACCTTTAATCCCAACACTTGGGGAGGCAGTGGTAGGCCGCAGTGAGTTGAAGGCCAGCCTGATCTACAATAGTGGGTTCCAGGATAGACGGTGCTACACAGTGAGACCCTGCCTCACCCAGGATTTTTAGGGCAATCAAACTAGTCCATGTAACCACTGTCACATAATGATCTAGCCCAAAATTTGGTGGCTCAAAACAGTTGCCCTTTTATTTGCTTAAAGCTCTGTGAGTCGGTTATTTGGGCCAAGCTTAGTTAATAGCTCTTTACTTGATCTCACCTGGAGTCATTCCTTTGGCTGTGCTCGTCTAGTGCATTGGTTCTTAACCTGTGGGTCTTGACCCTTTGGGGCCTGGGGGAGGTCAAACCATTCTTTTACAGGGATCACATAAAACTGTCAGAAAACACAGATATTTACATTGTGATTCTTAGCAGTAACAAAATTAAGGTTATGAACTAGCAACAAAAATAATTTTATAGTTGGGGTCACACAACTGGAGGAACTGTATTAAAGGGTCGCAGCATTGGAAAGGCTGAGAACCACTAATGTAATGGCACCGCTCCAGTTGGATTGTCTAAGATGGCTTCTCTTACACATCTGTTTTTTGCCATCGTGGTGGTAGTGGTGGTGGTGGTGTATGAGCTCCTGGCTATTGGCTAAACTTCTTCACATGGCAGTAGAAGTCTAACAAATGTAAAAGCTATGATGGCTCTCTAGACCTAGGCATGACAGTCTATTTCATGGCATTCTGTTGCCCCCCAAAGAAATTAGAAAGCTATTCTAGATGCAATGTGGGGAAGAAATAGACTCCACCCTTGATGGAAGGACTGTGAAACTTTTGTGGACTTCTGCAGAGGGGAAACCTATCACTAATAGATGATGTCAGGATCAGTTTAGGATATGTTACTCGGACCCTTTGGTCTTTCTTTTTGCCTAAATAGTATTTTCTCCAAATTTAATTATTCAGAGCTCTTTGGTTGCCCTTGTTATCCTGTCTTTAAGCTTGCATACACACACATACACATACTGTTCCTCTTAAAAAGGACAAAAATAAAATGAAAGCAAATTTTGAATAATTAATTGAGTTTTGAAAACTCCGAAGGACCAAACCATTTTGAAAAAGAAAATATAAGTGGCTGGAGAGATGGCTCCACAGTTAAGAGCACTAGCTACTCTTGCTAAGGACTTGGGTTCATTTCTAAGCACCCACATGACAGCTCACAACTTCAGTCTGTAACTTTAGTCCTAAGGGATCCATTGCCCTCTTCTGACCTCCATGGACATCAGGCACACATGTGGTGCCCAGAAATACATACAGACAAAACACTCATACACATAAAATAAATAAGAATTTTAGAACGTTAAAAAAAAAGCATAAAACTAGGCATAGTGATGCCTGCTTGTAATCCTAGAGATTGGGAGACCAAGGCAAGGGGATGGCCATAAATTTGAGGCCAACCTGGACTATAAACTCCAAACCAGCCTACACTCTATTGGCTATACAAAAACAAAAAAAGACAGGTTGGGTAGTGCACACCTTTAATCCCAGCACACAGGAGGCAGAGGCAGGTGGATCTCTGTGAGTTGGAGGCCAGCCTGGTCTACAGCATGAGTTCCAGGGTGGCCCAGGCTACACAGAGAAACCCTCCCCAAAACGAACAGAACAGAGGTTGAGGAGACAGTGCAGTGGTTAACAGTGTGTACAAGTTCTTCTAGCATTTCATCTCCAGGGATCCAACGCTCTTTTCTGGCACTGCAGTTGTATACATGTGCAAGCAGTTACACACAGACACACACACATACACATTTAAAGTATTGATTAAATATTTTAAAATGCAATTTAAAGTTTTTTTTAAAATATTCTTAGGAACTTGAGCTTGATTAACAGGAATAATGGAGAACAATTCAGAATTCTGACTTATAATAGACAAAAATTTTGTACTACCACATCACCTGTTAGTGTTTAGTTAAATTTCTGGGTTTGATTATTTTATTGTATAGCTGTTTAAGTTGTAACTGTAGTACTAATTTCTTAGGAAAATTATTTGACTGGTATTCTGTTCAGGTAGACATGTGTGACCGACCACCTTTTAGAATTATCTGAAATACTGAATGAGTTGATTCTGAATTGGTTGTTTTTACTTCTATCTAACTTACCAATACACAGCAGATAAAAATGCAATTTTCTCTGGCTGTGTTAGTTTATTATCCTTGTGGTTGCTATTTTATTCTGCTTTCTATTCTGAAAGACTCCTTAGACTTTGTTCATTAATCATAGGAAACAGTTGTGCAGCATGCCTTGACATTGAGTTGAACATCTAAAATTAGTCCTCCTACAATCAGTGGTTGAGAACAGGATTTCATCAGTGTATTGCCTGTGTTAAGTAGACACTGCTGAGTTAGAAGGAACTCCCAAGCAATAAGTAAGTGATTTATGTTATGTCTGTGTCCGTTTATTTACTTACATGTATAATTAGGAAACATTATTAAACAGATGAACAAATTGCAACTTGTTAGCTCATATGCTATATATAAAATAGCTTTGCTTATAAACTCTGCTGTTTAATGAATCATTTCAGAAGAAACATACCTAGGAAACTTGAGATGATAAACATTTTTTTGCATATTTGTCAATGTTTTAATTTTGGGGTTTTTTGTTTGTTTGTTTGTTTTCTTTTTTGGTTTTTCCAGACAGGGTTTCTCCTCTTTGTAGCTTTGTAGACCAGGATGGCCTCGAACTCACAGAGATTCGTCTGCCTCTACTTCCCGAGTGCTGGGATTAGAGGCATGTGCCACTACTGCTGGGCAATGTTTTAATTTGTAAAGGAATATGTTCTGTTTACTCTATACAGATGACTTCTTTTTCTCTTTTTCTTCAGAGTTCATATAAATCTAGTCACAAAAATGGCATCCTGGTTATATGAATGTCTTTGTGAAGCTGAACTTGCACAGTATTATCCTCATTTTACTGCTCTTGGCCTTCAGAAAATAGATGAATTAGCCAAGGTTACAATGAAGGACTATTCCAAATTGGGAGTCCATGATATGAATGACCGTAAACGTCTTTTCCAACTTATCAAAATCATTAAGATTATGCAGGAGGAAGATGAAGTCCTCAATAGCCCAGAGCATCCTCTTCAGACAAGCAACCTGTACAACAAGCCTCAGGAATTTAGATCTGGCCCCCGAAGACAACTGCATTTTGATTCTCCTGCTGATAGCAAAGCCAGAACAGCCAGCAACGAAGCGTGCAACTTATCAGACTTCTCTGTAGAGGAGCAGAAGTCCACTTCCCTGAAAATGCTGGGACACATGCTACCTGATGACTCCCAGGACCAGACAAAAATAAGAACCCTGAATGCCTCTGCTGCTGCTGCTTATATGCAAACAGAAACTGACACTCCACTCTTTTCATCAAATTACTTTTCTCCAAAACTAGGAAATGGTGATATTCCTGTTATTCAAAGAGTCTCTCATGTTTTGGGGTATAACTATGGAATTCCTCATTCTTGTGTCAGGTAATAATTTGTTTTTACATTTTTGGGAGAGGCAAAGACAAATCTCTCCTTTGTGACCAGAGGAATATAAGTACTCTTTATTCCTAGTAATTGACTGTAACATAGTTAGCAAGTTTTGCATTAATAATCAAGGTAAGTGGGTAGAAGACAGAATAGTGAGGAAACTGGAGCTTTCCAGATAAACAACTACTGCTTTCCAGGGTCTGCTGTCCATGTAACATGATACACCTAGTATATTCTTGAAAGCAAAGTAGTTAACTGGCCTTCTACAAATGGAAAAAAAATCACACAAGTCACAGGATTTTGTTTTTTGAGACAGGGTTTCTCTGTGTAGTCCTGGCTGTCCTAGAACTCACTCTGTAGACCAGGCTGTCCTCAAACTCACAGAGCTCCACCTGCCTCTACCTTCTGAGTGCTGGGATTAAAGGCATGTGACACAACCACCCAGCAGGATGTTTTTTTAAAGGCCATCAAATTCATGAGTCAGATGCCCTACAGCTTACTTAAGGCCAGAGACAGGTAGTTAAATTAAGTAGTTCTTAAATCATCTGTACAATTGAAATAGGTTCCTGATTTTGACTGCGATTTTGTTTTAAATCCAACCCTGGGAAAACAGATAGGTTTTGGTAATTACAAAGAGTAAGACCTTTTGATCGCAATCAGAGGTTGTGAATCAGAATGACAGTAAGCTATTTTCACCTAGTACTTCAAGATAGAATTTTAAATAAGATCCCTGAGAGGTGAAAGACTCAATAGTCCCCAAATGCTAATAATGATATAATAGAAAATATGTTTTTTAAAAATATATTACTTGTTGTATTATTATGAAAGTAATATATATGAGTTATGAGAAAATAAATTCTCTCTCTCTCTCTTTTTTTTTTCTTTTCTTTCTTTTTTTTTTTTTTTTGAGTA